TTCAGAGAGAAAGCCGCAAAAAACACTGCACCAGATGTTGCAACACTGAGAAGCTGCTTCCAGCAAGTAATGTAGAGGTGTGAGGGAACGTTGGTGTAGATGAGATGTGATATAGTGTCTGATAAGGGCTTACAAGAGTTAGTATCTGTTAGCATCTTTACTCCGCTTGAGACTGAATTTGATCACCGTGGCCTAAGAACCAGTGGGCAAAGACTTAGGGAGCCAAGATTTTTCTATCTTTCAGCGATATAGTCGGGATTGATATAGTAGCAAATTTCTCCAGTTTCAACGAAAAGTAAAAGCCTCAGGTACTTTGCAAGTAAGCAATGATGAGAGCCACCGAAAGACGGATATGTGAAAGCAGCTCAACGGAAGTGCTAGGCTGTAAGGTCATTTCACTATGATTTCGATATTGTTACCATCGAACTCTTTCAACCGCTAAGCTCTCCTATTTCCAACAAATGTTGTTGTTAGGAATGTGATAAGCAGCGGACTTTGGCGAATGTTCATTCAAGAAATTTGAGGAAATGGACCGATTTTCGAAACATGAGAGTTAGGCCAGGTGCTAGAGGTCAGCACAGAATATTGTCAGTGATCAGGACCATAGGTTTAACCATGCGCGCAGTATTGCGTGTCAGCCAAACTGGTTTCTAATAGAAGTGAGAATCTTATGGACGACACATCTATTATTCTATAGGTTCCACATTTCGGCGATGCCTTTTCAGCACATGAGAGTTATGCTGTTGAAAATCTTCTTTGCACCGTTAGCATCCGTTAGGGTGTAGACAGTTGAGTAAACCAACAATGAATGATGAAAATAACTCTACTGGGCATGTTCACCGTCCCCACGATGTGATATACCACTTGTGATTCATGGTTGATCTGACCCTTCGGGACACTTGCATGACTCTCCGAAGAACCATATTGAGTCCGTCTTACCAGGTGAAGTCAGTTCGGCACGACCGAACTTGCTCTTCTCTTTCTCTCTAAGTACCACTTCTGGCCTCTAGCTACCCATCCGTTTTTCATTCTTGGTTTGCTATTTCCGCTGGCTTGAGCGTCATCGGGACACAACCTATGAGCAGGGTTGCTACGCTGGAGCGTGAACCCAATGCATTCTTCTCTAGGTGGCTTCTTCTTTACTCCCTTTCTTTCCCGATCCGGAACGGTACATCATTACCGCCGCTTCTACAGTTTGGTTTTTCTAACAGATCCGTCAACCCACAACGTATTTTTATTGCGGATTCAGCAACAACTAGTTTCTCTCTCTCTTTCCCAACCTTGCTGAACCTTTTCTCTGACTTTTCTCTAGATCTTCTATCTTCTTCGCCCGTTTTCGCATCTTTTTTCCACCACACTTCTGACATTTTGACTTCTGTGAAGTTGTTTCCCTTTGTGTGCTTTTCGATTCAATTTCACCAGACGTTTCAACGCCAACCGCACTCTCCACATCTTCCGCCGTCAATCATTCTAATACAACCTTTGTTTAGCTGCAAATGCCCTTTTTCAACTAACGATCCACGCGGTTCACTCTTCTATTTCTCCTCACTTCTTCGGCTTACCATTGGGGATCATTTGGTCAACTGTTTAACACACTGCTGCTTTTCCTTGCCTACTTCACATTTATTGTGAGTCCTTCAAAGCATAGTTGATCTGAGGAAGGATTCTATCTGCGGGCACAGTCAGTAGACAGCAGCAAGAAGTTCGACTTCGCGATTACTCACCAAGTGTACCCACTGGGGTTTGCACAAGCAACCTGTAGCCCCATACTGTAATATCAGTTAGATCTTATTCGGGTACGGAACACGTTGGGAACACTGGTCACGTGGGATTGCCAGCATCCGTTTCCCCAAAGCTCCACGCAGTGTAACTTAGGACGCTATGGCGCCACGAATTCTCCTTTTTTTCATCTTTTCTCTTCAAACTTTTTCATTCATTCCTCTTCGTTCTTCTTCTCTCGTCGCTTTAGCAGTTCAGCTTTAGCATACGCTTATTATCTTTGCCACCTGTGATTTACCGTACGCTTCCTGCGGAAGGTGCTGCTACTGTATACGATAGCATCGGGTCACGCTCGCAGCAAAGACGGTGCGAATGTTTAGTTCCGCCGCAGCATAATGTTGCCTTTCGCAGCATCAAGCCGAAGCCTGCTCCCCCTAGCTCTAGCCCGACGCACAGGCCTCCAAGCTGGTCTTCCCACGGTACCACCGATACCGGCGTCCAGTTTTCACCCAGCTACGTCGGCTTGGCCATATGTATGAGTCCCGTTTCTCTCTCTGTGACGATCAACGAACCGATTCCCTCATCGGGCATCTCGATGAAGTCGCATGCAGGCAGGTGGAAGAGTTGGACCACGACTTCAAACGAATCCACTCTACAATCGTCAATCAGCTTACTGCTTTCTTAGCAAGCCCATAGCAAGTTACGTCACAGTCAAAAATTGCCACCAAGAACCCTGAGTCTTGTACATCGTTGCTTATCGGGCGCTCAACTTGGTTCGGGCCGTCATTTTGAACCAGCACAGCACTCAGGAGGAACAGGCTCTTGAGAAGTTCACGAGCCGCCTGCAGTCGTTCGTCGATCTAGATAACCCAGTATCTTTTAGCAAAGGGTGGCCAAAACGCAAGAGGTAACAACTTTTGAACGAGGCTACTGCTGACCCCCTTCTCCACCCGGCATCTACCGCAGTCACGGTGCAGGCTGTATCTCGCTTTTCTCGTCTGGAACCGTCGGGTTCAGCCCATCTATCACCAAAGACGGCACCTTTTCGTTCGCGGGCCCACCTCAACTCGAACCCAATAAGCTCAGTGGGGCTCTTCGGGTCCTTGCGTAGCCGTCTCGTATAACCAACGATTTTCGCTTCCTCATCCACAACAAATACGGCCACTTTGTTGATGTATTCCCCTCCGCCCATCGGTCTCCAGCATCAGCACCCTGGTCCCTCGCGGACCTGCACCAGCACTATGTACGTTCAAATTGCGATAACCATACGGCCTCTCTGCGGCTGGGTGTTCCCGTGTTTCATGGGTCAGACCCGCCTTCGCCCAGAGGTCGCTCTACTTGAGGAAGACCACATGCACCATCAGATCAGGTTTGCATTGAGGCTCCACTTCACAGCAACACCGAGTTGCCAGATAGCTTGGTTTCGTCCCTGGATGTTCATATTCTTTTCTGAACGTTCTCTCCTTCTCCTTTCTCCTGCCTGATCAGCTCAAGTCTCGGCTTCCGGCTTCTCTCTCAGTGCCTGGCTTTACCCTTCAGACAGCCACATTACTCTTTTCTTCCTTCAGGGCTTCTCTCCAATCGCGCGAGTTATCGCAGCACACTTTCTTTGCACCTCTATCGCCTTGATACCGAGCAGTATTTCAATGCAGCTTCATGGTGAAGACAACTCGCTACACACTCTCCTTTTCCGCAAATTCCTTCTAGGAATAGTTAAACACTCGTAAACCAAGGTGGCTGTATCAGTGGAGGAGTGCTAACAAATGGTTTCCACCACAGGTGCGCACACGCGAGCTATTCAATTGCCGGGTGCATGGCGCACCCTAGAGTTGCTGTCGTTCCAATTCTCTTCAGCTCCTTTGCGTTGCTGTGTAGGCAACACTGCCCACACAAACTGCTTTCATTACATTCTTTCTTTCTCTTTTCTTTTCTCTTTCTCTTTTCTCTTTTCTTTCTTACTTCTTTCATTACATCTCGACCCACAGTACTCGGACACCATTCCCCAATCCCCTGTAGGCGGTCTGTACGCATGCTCGCACAAGGACAGTAGGTGCGCTCCATCCGAGGAATAGGTTCTCTTTGGAACCTCGAGCAGGAGGAGGACAGTCGCGAGCTTTGGTTGATGGTGCTCATTGACACAAATGGTGGCGGCTTTCGCGACCATAACCCGACTCGTGCACCAGCCCAGCAAGCGGGCGATCTTTCTTCGCTTACCTTTCTGTCTGGCTCATCACGATATCAGTTAACCTCGCTTGCTAAGGAAATACTACATGCCGGTGGATCCGCTACCGATGTTCAATCTACGATAATTTTTGTATACTACTGTTAAGACTACTATATGACACGATTCACATATCGACGAGTAATGCAGTTTTTTCTTGTCCGACTTTGTTTTCAATCTTTCGATGTTTATAGAGCCGTATTTCATATGTATGTGAATTAATAGTGGAAGAAGAAATCTATGCTAGCTCCCCACTGCATTACCCAACCGAGAATCTCACCGAGCCCACCCGCGTGGCAGGCGAGCGTTCTATCACTTAACCACTGCACTCTTAGCAGATGCTCCACAGTTCAGCACATATCAACTATATGTAAATTTTCTATTGCCGAACATGATGCTCCTTGGACGATAGTCACGCAAGGCCAACTCTATTCTAAGCGAACTACTTCATTTGACTACCGCACTGCAAGCAGAGATCGAGTGACTTAATCTACAACAAACTGTATACACCTCCATTACTGCTGGCCCTGTCATGCGCGAAGTAAATTGGCCTGCATTTGAATTGGCCTGCATTTGGAGTAGCCTGCGATTTGCTCCCCTCAGAAGTTCTGTGACGGAGCACGTGGGTGGTAGTTCTCGGCTGCAGTCATATCCTTCGTCCCCGCTGCGCACTGGCAGCTACACGCCTGACCCTAGCCAAACGCGCTTTCCTTAACTGTGCTGCCCCACACTTCTGGTTGTTTCTACGGTTGAGTACGTGTTTCGCTGCGAAACCTCGGTCTCAAAGCAAGTTCTGCACATTGAGGGTAGTGCAGTGGAGTCCAAGACGGCAGCCGGATATTGCAGCCTCTCAGCCCCATATCCGCGCACTCTCAGGCGCCGAAACTGTTAGTGTACGCTGCTAACCCGTTCTTCTTTCATATAGCAAGGGCCGTTCTCAGAAGTCAGTATACATACATCTGTATGTTCGATTACGTGTGTACTCGCCGTGCACTAGATTACACGATACACTTTCAAAGATGTTTAAAAACTTCATTATTACAAAATGATGAGAAGCGTTCTACTGAAGTAAGTAAGCCGTCGGACCACCCATTTCCCAATCATATGGAAATTCTTGCGCTCTAGATGACTGCAGAGCCCTTCGCATAATCTGAATGAGAGTGCATTTGTGCTCTACAATCTTCGACAGTACCTCGCTGTGAGTAGACAAAACTTCCCCTACGTTTGAAAATGCGATGAGAAAATACCTAGAAAGTAGTATAAAACCCACGCCATAAATGTACTGATAGTTTGGGGCATCGTAGTACTTCAATCCGTCAATATACTGAAGTGCCTCAATGTACTCACGAGGGCAGGGCGGCGGGAAGAGCTCCATAATATACATAGGCTGACGAACACGCTTTTTGTACTCACCTACCTGAAAGCAATGATAGCATACGAATGTCGGTATCAAGTGACGATAGCTATGACAACATTGAAACCAGCAACGACTAATTACACAGTCCCACGACACTTTGTCAGAATTTTCATGCTGTATAGTCCTTTTGTATGGACCGTCAGTCGCTGAAGTGTGGGGACACCTGTCCATCTGTCGATAAGTCCCTGTTTTGCTGTTTCATAAATCAGCGACAGTGATCCACCAATTATCGTTTTCCGCTCTGCAGCTGACGCATTTATGAGCTGAGTAAGCGCTTCAGAAGCGGCTCAAATCAAACCAGTCAAATTGTCTGTAAATCCATTGTCGTTGCGTGGCAAGAAATCGAGTCCTTCTCACTTAATTCAGCGCACACCGCAAGCCATATTTTAAATTCTCTTACCAACTTCAGAATGGTCACAGCCTACTGTTACCATTCTAAAGTTGGTAACAGTAGGCTGCGACCGTCACTGCCATGCCTGAATCCTAACAACAGCAAATTCAAAAATAGCAGAATCCTTTGCAGCCTCGTCTACGAAACAGTAGAACCTTTTTCCAGGCAAGTTCTACATGCAATTTCTCTTCTGCAGCATTGAGCGTATGGTTTATGCGAAGCATCTAGCTCCCTCAATTAGATATATTACTTTGAGGAGAATTCCTTCCAACTTTGCAAAAAGGAGACTCGCGCGCATAGCAAACCATTCCTTTGGCCCTGTCTGACTGAACTGTCTCACGTGGTCTCTGTTATGAAATGTTCCCGACATCTGAAACCATAAAGCTGCAAGATTTCTCTCGTATGGACGTGGCCTAGAATGTTGCCAAAGTAAAGGTGATTAGGTTCTGTTGCGCTCCACCTTTTGAGTTGGCCGTCATCACTACCAGTGGCCGACAATGACGTTGCTCGTTTCCGAGTGAAATACCTCAAGCTGTGATGCATCGATGCTATTAAGACATGGTGACATAATCAACCACACTTTTCTGTAGGGAGTCAAAACATATCATGGGTTAGAAACAGAAGCGAATCAGGACTTGCACGGAGCAATTATGTATCATGTATCATCCTTTCAAATGCTTGAGGAACACGCTACTGTAATAAGCAACCCAAAAGTCCTGATGTTGTCTCGATTTTCCCTAAAACAACTTGTTCGAAGTGTCGAAGATCTCCTGAAACAGCCTAGTATCCGATGGAGAGTAGAAAGAATTCCACAGGCATAGTGTCTGACGACTATGCAGCAAAACTCTAGATCCAACTGCGGATGCGAATTTAAATCAGCAGATGCAAGCTTTTAATACTAGTATACTAGAACTGGTAAGGAAGTTCTGAACTCTTCTGAGAGGATGATAACAGCATCTCAAGTATCGCTAATGGCACGATAGGTAACTTTGCAACGTGATATGTGGAGAAGGGTGACAAATTCAAAAGTTCAGAAAATATCTCTAACTGCTGACGAACTTGGTTCATATCCTGAATTTCCTTCCACGGAAGGCGTCCGTATGTGAATTCGACTAACATGTATACCCACGTCTCGCAATCATCCTTCCTAAATTCAAAAACGCCAAGTAAAAATAGACGTCACTTTATGCATCATTAATGGATCACCTGCGGGAAGGAACCCAACAATATCTAACCGCGTCGGCTCACCGCCAGCGCACTCAACCACTTCTATAAGCGCTTTGCCCGAGCTGCCCCGTAACGACATCGCGACCGGTGGCAGTCCAGAGGCAAAAATTGAAAGAATTTCTTTGAAAGAATTCGAATCAAATCCCCAGAATAAGTGATTCCGTAACTGCTCGACCATACATAGCGCGAGTTGGAAACGTTTCAACAGTGCATAGCGCCATGCGACCACTATACAAGGGTTTGCCAACATGGCGTCAATACTTTGCTGATATGAACGTTCCGCGACTCGGAAGAATCTGCGATTCATGAGAATGCGCGAATCACCAAACGTCTGCTTGAATCACCCACAATATAATCATGCATGGCACATCATGCGTTGGCTATTTTGGTCAAATTCGCACAACCACCCCTCTTGCAGGGAGCGGTGCACCCCTCCCCCTTTTACCTTTGCTGGTTCGCCGCCCTTCTAGGTGCGTTGGGAGAGCATTCGCTTTTCTCAAACATTTTTCCGAAACATACAAGGCAGAAGAGCAAAAGCCAAAAGCAATAAATAAAGCTGATAATGTTTGAAATTTCCTCTGGCTTCTTATTGGTAGCCGTGTAGCGGTGAGAAGTGGAGTGAAGATGAGCTCTACTATGTACTTATCAACAGATATCGTCACTTGCCACCAATCCTCCATCACTAAATCTTTGAGAGTTAGTGAGGAAGTAGTGGGGAAGCGGTACAACCTAGAGTGAAAACACAAATCAATCTGCCACTTATCGTTGATTTTCCTGTCGCATAGCCCATATCACCTGTTAGAACCCACTTCCTAGTGTCACCGCAAACGTGCGTTATGTATTGAGTGACGCATAACATTGATACGCTTTTCGGATCTCATGAGCCTCGAAGAAAAAAAAGCACGACAGAAGAGGCAGCACTCAAGGTACCGTGCCGGGAAGTGACCCAATCCCTCCTCCGATGTCATCTAAACACCATTTTCACCAGCGATGGGAAGTCACGCTCGGATCTGCCTTCGCTCGCTAATAGTCTTGCCACGCTTGTGTTTATTGTTGCTATCCGCGATCTTAGGATCCTACTGCTCCCACATGGTCAGCGCTGTGCCCGCGCACTTGATGCTAACCTGCTTACTTACCTGCCACGCACCGTACTTAAGGGTGACTGCTCGCGTGGCTGATTAGGGCTGAAACCTAATTCGATTCATCAGCCAACATACCAGACTATGATGGATGATTCGAGAAATGCAGTGGCAAAATCCAATACGATGATGCAGCAATACACAAAACTAATCGAGTAATTTACTACTCTAAGCAACGAAAAAAAAACCATGAAGCAGAAATGAAAAAATAACAATTGATTGAAAAGAGTACCGCTATAGGCTACAAGGAGGAATCCTGCTTATCTTCTACGGGCCACTTATAAGCCCCCCCCCCCGGCTGTCTACGAGGTTCGGATGTTCCTTCACTCCTAATGGTTACCTGCTGCCTTCGGTGACCCTACGATGATTCACCTCCCTTGCTTTGCACGGCTTGTTGGTCTTGTAGGGCGGTCAGCATGAACAAATGTTGAGCCGACGTCACCTCTGCTTCCCTGCTGTCCTCTCGAATGTTCTTTCGCGCCAGGACCGCCACGCTTACCATGAATGCGACCTCTTAAAGGGTGTACGGAAGCCACAACACAAGGCATATGGTATCCCAGCAGTTACTTCAACCCAAGGAGAGGTTCCCTTGTGGTGCACACGACAATATGCTTTAGCCAAACAAGTTCGAGCATATAACCTATCAAATTTTGGAACATCTCCTTTACGTGATAAAAGGTTATTGTTGAAACAGTTTTGCCGAATACTTCAGTGCGTTACTGAATATCAGTGATTAAGGTAGCCTATGAACATTTTCACTGTATAATTGTACCTGCAGAGCTCTCTTTGAAGGTGACAGGATATTGGAGCATAACGTACGGTCCCACGGAACCCAGCCGCTTGTCGTGGTTTGCGAATAATCCCCTGAATTTCTCCAGATATGAATTTATAAGTGAAAATGCTAATCAATTGCAATATTCAGAGGTTATACCTACCTGGTCGTTTGTGAACTTCCTGCACATACCGAAAGTCAAGGATGTACACCTTGCGTAATTCATTGAGTTCAGGTCGTCCTATCGTATAATTGCCAGGCTTAACATCACGATGAAGATAACCAATGTTGTGAAGGTCTGCAACAATGTATGACAGCAGAAATAACAAAGTTCTACGTTTCGCCACGTCCTGCCAGGAATTTCCTTCATAGAAGTCTGCGTGCCGCATGAGACAACATCAGTTTTCTTCACAGTATACGATAGAGCAGCTAGCATAAAGTTATCCATTCAATGCACTACGCTCAATGGAACTGCACCCTGGATTGAGATTCGTTTGAGACAATCCTTGAAAAACTGATTCTTTTGAAATCACTTAATCCTCAAACTCGATTATCTCTGTTTTTGGCATTCACCTCTAACAAGGGAGGTCTTTCAGGTCGTGGCGCGCTTTTTGGAAATGGTTTGTTGCTTGTTGTAGGGGTCCATAAGGATCACAAAAATGGGTTTCATTTTTGCTATGCGTTTCTGGGGAGGTCAAAAACTGAGTGAAAAAAATTTGACGAATGGGCGATTTTAACTATCTTAATGGGCTCCGTTCTGATTGTAACTTCGAGCATGCATAGTTTATGAGGTGCTCGTTAATTAGGCTTCGAAAATAGTTTTAAATAAAGTCAAAATGTAAGTATCATGTAGTAACACACTTGGCATGCACCGACGCAACAGTGATGTTTTTGTCAGCGGTCCCCTCATGCTCACTGTCGGCGGATCGGATGGCGCAGCGGATAACTCGATGGATTCTGGATGGGACGACGATACGGGACTTTGTGGATCGGATCACCCTTGCGGCTAAGTTCTTGCATTTAGCAGTGGAAATAAGCCAAGTATATGCCTTTTGGAGGGCATATTCTTCATTTGAGTAAACAAGCTCGGATTGTGTTAGAGAACCGGTGTTTCCGAAATGTTTTCCACTGGGTATGTCGAGAGATCCTGGATCCGATTTAATCCGGATTCAACGAAGGGGCATGTTGTCGTTCCCTTGTCAAGAACGGCACTGTTTCTTCCCCTTGCGCTTTGTTAGGTGCAGTTTGATGCAATAGATGCATATGCTTCACATGTTTTGTCAACGTAGCGAGACGAGAACATTCCAGAAACAGGCTTCTCCATACAACCGAACTGGTTTGTAAGGCATCAGAATGAAGGATATTTTTATTTATTCATTTATTTACTTATGCATCAATACAACGCGCTCAGATAAAACAAAGTACCAATGCAGAGCAACAAATATCCGAAACAGACAACTAAACAACAAACAAAAAGCATCCCAAGAAAACTAACTGCAGTTAAAATTTCAGCAGTTACACTCAGAGCTGCGAAAGAATGAACTAAGGCCAGACTTAGTTGGTCATTGAGGATTGGAGTGCTTCAATGCGTGTACTTATTGGCTTATTTTCATTGCTAGACCCACAGGAACGCGAATGAATAGAAAGCTGAGAAATGCAAAAAATTTGCCAAATGAGAGGAAGATCTGATCCACAAATCCCTGTGTGGTCGCCCCATCGAGAATCCTTTGGGTTATCCGCTGCGCCATCCGATCCACTGGCAGTAGCATGAGGGGACCGCCTGACAAAAACATCAGTGTTGCGTCGGTGCATGCCATGCGTGTTACCACATGATAGCTTCAATTTGACTCTTTGTTTGGCGACTATTTTTCGAAAGCCTAATTAACGAGCACCTCATTGCACTATGGCAGTCCGCGAAGTTCACCGAACAGAACGGGACCCATTAAAAAGTTAAAATCGCCCCATTCGTCAAATTTTTTCATCGTTTATTCCTCCCAGAGCCATAGCAAAAAAGAACCCAATTTTTGAGATCCTTGTATGGACAGCTACAACAAGCAATAAACCATCCCAAAAAGTGCGCCACGACTCGAAAGACCTCCCTTCTAAGTAAAAGGTTGGTTATCCGATTACTGAATTCAAAATCGAGCGAAGAGAACACAGTTCCCATATAGTGGAACTGTTGTGGTAGACGACCTCACCACGATTTTCAAACTTACTAGGGATGGTCGTCAGGTCGAAGTGGCCGTTTGTAATGAGACCTAGACCACTAGACGTATTTTCAGACGCTGATTTCAAATCTGCATTCCAAATTTGCAAAGCGATTCTGTGAACGGAGTTATGACGGGTCGTTTGGCTGAAGCGGCGCGGGGTCGGCGGCAGTTGCCAGCGCGGGCATGAGTAACCGGGATGCAGCGCCTCATCCAACGCGGCGGTTGGCGTCAGAGGTTTACAGAGTCTAGGTTCATGGGCACACATGAAGGTTCGGATCCCGAGAGTGTGGTTTGTTTTGCATTCCGTGGAGGACGTCCTACGACTATGATAAGCACTTCAAGCGTTGATGTGACCACATTTTTCAACTGGGGCTGGGCGATCAGTGTGATATACATCTTATAGTTATGGGAATTACATTCTTCAAATCATACACGATAATAATGCTATGCAAAAAAATGACTCCTTCACCTCACCAGTGGGTCGCCTTCTCCGTCCTCTACCACTGTGTCTTCCTCGCATTCGATGATCAGGTTGTCGTACATGGCTTCCCGTAGTATATACGTGAAGCTGCTGATGATCTTCAGCTCTTTTCTGGATGGGGCACGCTCGAGATCACAAGAGCCGAATTCCTTCAATAAGTGCGAAACTACCAGCTTTGGACAGAACATAATCCTTATAGCTGCGAACCAGTACTGCTTTCACCCTACTGGTAAGTTCCCACGCTTGCCACGTCATTTCGCAGCCTCTAGACATTGATCCGGAACAATTTGATCTATTCCCATAAGATGTAGATCACACTGATCACCCAGCCCCAGTTGAAAAATGTGGTCACATCAACGCTTGAAGTGCTTATCATAGTCGTAGGACGTCCTCCACGGAATGCAAAACGAACCACAGTCTCGGGATCCGAACCTTCATCGTGTGCCCATGAACCTAGACTCTTACCTCTGTGCCACCGCCGCCGTTGGATGAGGCGCTGCATCCCGGTTACTCATGCCCGCTGGCTGGCAACTGCCGCCGACCCCGCGCCGCTTCAGCCAAACGACCCGTCATAACTCCGTTCACAGAATCGCTTTGCAAATTTGGAATGCAGATTTGAAATCAGCGTCTGAAAATACGTCTAGTGGTCTAGGTCTCATTACAAACGGCCACTTCGACCTGACGACCATCCCTAGTTAGCACAGTCTTACTCCAAGGATAGATTTCGCTCGAAATCTGGTCTGCATAGCGAAATGTGGCACAGCGAAGGGTGGATGTTGTCACTAACCAACACTAACCCATACTAACCAACTCAGCTGAACAAACCGTTTCATGCAGTACACGTTTGGTGTATTGGGAACGGACTCTCGATCAGACATTTGGTCCCACATTCACGAGAGACGACTCATTTTGCACACTTATTCATGGGATAACTACCAACATGGATGTATGCATAGACATCCGGCGTATGCGTAAACACGTACACTTTAGCTGCGGGCGGTTGGGCGTGTCAGGCAGTATGAGTGTGTCACCCCGTCAAAGCCGTTCTCTGCCTTCTTGTTGAAGCGCGCATGCGACAAAAGTGGTAGAAAACGAGTAATACGAACGATATGATACAGTCATATCACTTGCTCGCTTTAACAACTGGTGGAGAACGGGTTTGGCACCGCGCCAAACTCATCCCGCCTGACACGCTCAACCGAAGCGAACTACACTATATGCAATCCTCTTTCGCTTGGTATTGCGACTTGTACATTCGAAAGCATTTGCAGCAGCCTGGCTGAGTGCAAGATTGTGTGCATTACACGTGAACCCCATGCAAAGTATAAAGAACAGGGTATCTGTACCGACCCGTATATAATTGTACTTCACTTTACGTCTTGGTCATTAGACATTACGAATGCATCCCAATTTTTCTCTATTAATGATCATCGGTCAATGACTATCGCTTATCTAATCTCTGGAAGCAACATCAGTTTTTGGATACAAGGAAAGTTTAGCTAATGTATCGATGCCAAGACACTAGACAAAAAAGTGGACCCGGGTCAGCGAGGGCTAGCTAATTGAGAAATGTGGGGCACACTTGTTGTGGGCAGAGCCTGCCACTGTGGGCGGAGCCGAACAAAAGGCCGTACAATGGTTCCAGGGAGCTAAAAACACAAGAAAAAAAGGTGGATCAAGGTCAGCGAGGGCTGGCCGATTGAGAAAGATGGGGCACCATGTCGTGGGCGGAGCCAGACAGTAAGTCCGTAAAATGGTTCCAGAGCACCAGATATCGGCAACATGTGAGAAGAGATGTGGAGGAACTCAACTGCTGAAGGGAGATAGACACGCCCTGTGCGGGCGGAGCATGCATCGAAATGAGCGAAGAGGGACTCAAGGATTCAGACTCGGTTGCGGAGCAGCACTGTCACCTGGGACAAGTTGATTGAACCCAGAAATTTGTGAAAGAAGGTACGCGTAGCGAAGTCGCGCCCGTCCGGGCCGTATCACAGAAGGAGGCCCGGTGCGACAGTCGGCCAGCTCACTGTGCCCCATACAATGACCTGGGGACCAGCCGATGTACAAGTCAGTGTTCTCATTCTCCCAGACGTAAAAGCCGCTTATTTCAAGGATATTTATTTCAAAGATGTCAGCAAGAAACCTGAGTCACGCGGCCGTGGGCGACACCTGCACTGACTTGCCAAATCTCGCCACCGCTAAACCAAAAATATAGAGAACTTTTTTAGCATAAACAGTGATAATGGCCATCTTCTAAGGGATCGAAAGGAGGTAGTGCGACGATGACGTGAATATTTCGAGAACATCTCAACAAGAGAACTCATCCACCGACTATCTCCTGTACTCACCAACACATGGCCGCGTTCGGAAGACATCCGTACAGGAAACAGAAGCGGCTCTGAGGAAAATGAAGGCCGCAAAGCAACAGGCCTCGACGAGTTGCCTCCGGTTTTCTGCAGATTGGTTACGATGCTCTTCAATCAGATCGCTGAAGAAAATAAGGTGCCTAAGGACTGGCTCTAGAGCGTGACGATCAAGATTTGGAAGGAGAAGGGCAGCTCGGCAAATTGCTCGAGCAACCTGCTCCACTCTCGCACACCAATGAAAATCTTTGAAGGAATCGTTCACGCCCATGTCGTGATATCGTCCGGCTTCCCACTAATGTCTGTGTTCGTGGCGGGCTGTAGCACCATCGACGCCATATATGCCGCTCGTATTTTGCTGAAACATCGTGAGAAGCACAAGCCCCTCAATTGGCTTTCCTAGACTTGGAGAAAACATTCGATCGTGTGCCGCGTAAAGTTATATGGTACGCCTTGCGAGAGTACAGCGTATCCAAAGAGCTGATGGAGTGGATGCGCATCCTTTAAAGGCAGTTGGCACGATAAATCGCTATACAGGTGTAGGATTTGTACAACTGGCTTAACAGAATTCCGTGACCTCGGACAGGCGCTGCGTGAAGCCTTTTCCAAGGAGGGTACCTCTATAACGCCCTATTGAGCAACAACTTTACGTCCCAAACGCCTTCCTTGCCCGCCCGCCCACAAACGGACGACCGTTTCTGACGCTCGTATTCATTCATTTGCTGAGCAAATTATGAAGCAAAGGGATTGGTATGAAGCGGCGGTGATGCTGCATGCATATATGGGTACACATATGCAGCCGTATCTTCGGTAGCGGTGATTGGCAAGATGCGTACGGGAAACTCGTCCGAAATCGATTTTCAAGTCACTGAGAACGGAGGCTTTTTCTTCGCCGGATTTTGACCGTTTCACTCCGTTCTTTCGCCATTTCCCCACTACATAGCTCCCTACTAGCATTTTAGGCGAAGTAGGAAACCATCGTGCCAACTGCCTTTAAACAAGCCGAGAAAGCTCAGTGCGATCACCTGCGGGCATGTCAAGGAAGTACCTCCATCATTGTTGGGGTACACCAAGGCTCGCTATCCTCAGTCCTACTCGTTATCGTCATTGACACCATCTCACTCGATCTGCAGAAAAAAGTTCCTTGGACACTTCGATACGCTGATGATGTGATGCTTGCCTCCCAAGATGAGGACAACTTGAGCAACGAGTGCAAGCTTGGGCCGATCGCCTAGCGAAAATTGGATCCGCCGTGCCTACTTTCAGTCGTGAGAATTTTCTTGTTCACCGAAACAATTTCTCCACGCGGTGCACTCCAGCAATTCACTGCATCTCGTTGGTCTCTATCACATGATGTGTTTCGTTAGAGAGTGGCCTCCGCACATTCGGCAATTGCGAAGCTTCCAATAGCCTTTATATTCGGCTGTCTGCTTTCGGAGATCGGAGATGACCAACTTCGAGTCTGCTTTCGGAAATCGGAGATGATCAACTTCGAGACGACGTCGTCCTTTCCGGCATGTTTCTTTCCATTGAGTTAGCGGGACCGTGAATAGACTGATCGTGGTTGGATCTGCTTCTCCCTCATGCTAATATAACTTCCTTCTTTCACTGTCGTTCACATGTCCATGTTCATACAAGCATGAAGTGAAGTCAGGGCACAGCGTTCGATGGGGATTCCCTATGGGGGGGGGGTCGTATTTGGGCTGGGAAAAATTTATTTTTATAGTTGATTTTTCTCGCTTTGCGGACGTTTTGGAGGGGGGGGTCGTAATTTGGTCGTTGTTGGGAGGGGGGGGTCGTACCAGCCCCTGAAAAAAAGGGGGGGGGTCGTAAAAGCTCGACCAAATCCCCATCGAATGCTCGCTGCCGGGATAATTTTCTTTCTACGATCAGGACAGGCCCCCTCCTCTAAGCTCGCTGCAAATGCACGGCGATCCGCTTCTTCTTTTGAACTATAATTAAGAAACAAAACATAACATACAATCTAAAATAACAATGCCTTCACACACACACACACACACACACCAACTACACCACGCATCCACACACACATCACACACAGACACACACACGCACATACACACACACACTTAGGGACCTATATGGTAGGATCTACTTATATGGTCGTATTTAGCGGGTGGTCAAGTAAGTTTGACTGACAGAGTCGATTCGAGAATGAGATATGTTTGCATGGTAATCTTTCAGGTTATAATGACGTTGTAGCTTTCTCCATACTGTTTTGCTAATAACATTTATCAGAACTCATTGGCAAATAATACTAAACGTCTACTTTTCATCTTACATTCAGAACTTAACGGTCGAATGAGAGCCGCTTCCATCTATCTAAGGAGAAACGTGAAGTGTGCTGCCTCCTGCTGTAGAATCGGGCTATCGATTCTGTGATATTTTTGCGAAAGATTCAGAGAAGGTCGTTCTTACAAGTTCTTATGTGTTGTTATCAGTAGCTCTCACCCATCGTAAAAGTTCCTGCCGTGTATCTTTCATCGCTTGTAAGAGAGCGACACCAATGACACAGGCGTGACAACATACTGTTACAGTAGATCCGTGACACGCCTTACCAACTCTTAACACTCGCTATTGCTTCCTTTCATCTGCTCATGAAGAAGTGATGTGAGCGTTCGAGTCACATAACTCACACCACTTCTTCAAAATAACACCTCATTGCTGCTGGGACGCGCTACGAACTTCATGACAAACCTAGGCGCGAGCGCGCACACTCACATGCTTCTATGCTTGGATAAACACTTGTGATGCTTTTCTTTTGCCAACCACACGATTATGAATGAAAATCGAGAATTAAACTTCAAACCTTCAAGAGCTTCTAGCGCTTGAATACCACATGATATAGCACATCCGATCGTCATATGCCCTCCAGGCCCTCCCCTATTCAAATCTTGTAGCGATTTACCCACAAGAGTCATAACCACCTGCAGATTGAATTGATGGAGAGTGAAAGTGCCGCTTTGCACTTAATCAGCCTACATAATTGAAATTTCCGTATCTTCCTTTGTCTTCAATTCTGCAGAAATGTCGTGAGCCACGTTTTGTCAACTCTGTCAGCACGTAGACTTCCATTTTCAGTACCTGAAAAGTTGGTCAGAGGCCCTTTGAAAGACTTCTTACTGCTTGGACCTAATAAGTTGCAACAATCACCTGAATCTGCTCGGCCACTCCTTCAACTTTGAGTGCGTATTGCCCAGTGCTGTCACGACATCGATATACGGCACCAAAGCCACCTTCACCAAGCTTCTTTTCAATAGTCCATCTTTCAACCTAAACAGTAGATCCTCTGCGTACTGCATCAGTTTTGCAACAATCGTGTGAACTCCCACCTGCATTCCTGGCTGGAGTTGAATCAGTTCTTGAGCCATAGCTGCTCACTTGGGAGACGTGTGTTTGTGAATCAACGTATTAAGTGAAAGCAACATCTTGCACTGCAACCCTTTTATACGGAATGATAAAAATTGAAATGTTCTGAATCAAAACAAATAACGCATCCTCTTCAAAAACAGCTTAGTAGCAGACCAGGATTGATTGTGGAAGGAAGCAATGAATGCGGTTATCATCGGATTAGCTAGCAGAGATTGTGGTGCAGAAATCATAGCGTATGTGTTAATAAATTCCTAATTTCCTCCTGTAAAAGTTGGCAAAGACGCTGCCACTAAAATAGCAGATGAATGAGTGAAGATGAAATTTCAGCATGCTGTCCTATCCCGGTGGGCTCTTTTTTATTTTATTTTTTTATTGGAGCAAAGGCATCTTTCTGTGAGCACTGATATATCACAGCGCCGTTAATGATCCACACGGCTATATCTGCTATCGGAGCACATCGGCTGCACAAGTGGTTCTCATACACGTCGGAGCACCTTATAAAGCGCTCGGAGGCGCATTCTCAACCGCTCACTAACTGTGAAAAGCTTTTGCTTCCACAGTGGTGGCTTGTCCGCAACAATAGTACCACTTTTGTCTACTCCAGAGAAAGTCGGTATGCTGAGGCCACCATTCACTATGACACTCTCACGAATTACAAAAACCTTTTTCAAGAAACTAAAAACTCATTTTTCTCAGACGGTCGTCTTCTCTGAGGCAGAGGAGAGTCCTAGAGAAGATATTGAAGGCACCAAGCAATAATTTGATGCCTGCTCAAAAATGTAGCAGTGGTGCCATATAGAGGGATGAGGAAAAAGGGAGGTAAACAACCAAAACCTGCGAGAAGACCTTTGTTCTGCACAGCACTGAACAAACATTTTGAACGCCCTACGCCCATGTAGCAACGTTTTATAGCAATTGTACTTTGTATACATTATACATGAAGTGATATGTGAACCATCATCGATGTGACTGTGGAGCCGTTTGTGAGCGGTGGGCGTCTGGATCGGCATGTTGCAACTTGGTTGGGCGCTATAGCAGTGCCTTTTCTTTCGTGCTGAGCATATGGACCTCGTACTCTTTGTCGATTTGTCGTCCTTCTTGCCTTTCAGTTACCCAAAAAAGATTATGGCTCCCGTCGTGATACAGTTACGCACCTTTTCTATACCTTTTTGGGATGCTCACATATCTTCCATTAACGTGAAGTGGAAGTGGTACAACAAATTTTCAAGGCGTATAGGATACAGTGTTGTGAACTGCAGATGGTGATGCATGTCAGTAGGGATGGGAATAACATTACACGAACCGGGACCCAAATAATGTT